AAACACAATGGCAAATATATTCAGTAATACAAATATTTAAGCACAAACGCCGTGCACACGCAAAGACGACCAGAAAAGAACTGCGGCTCTGCTCAAGCACGTCAAAAAGCACTGTTGTATTTCTGACAACCAATTACCGGGTACTTATCCTCAGCTACCGACTACTTTACATAAATATATTATTATATTGTATGACAGGATTGCATATAATGAAAATATAAAAAAAAAATGTGTTTTTCTTTTATTATGTTATTTAAAATTTAATTCCTGGATTGCTTCAGGATCAGAATTCTTTACGAAGTTATTAAATTTCTTCTTATTAGAATTAGCAACAAAAAATCTGCTCATTAGTAGGCATCCGAGAATGGCGAGACAAAAATAAAAAAAAGAAATTTTGTGTAAGCTGCTTGAGCTCAATTTCAAATCTGAATTTTATTAACAATTTTCCAAACTATTTATACAAAATATTTTACTATAATTTACAATATTTTTCCTAATAATTTTAATTGCGGCACATTCAAGTGTGTCATATCGACATGTGCAGAATAGTAGCACAGAAAAGAAAAGTGTCAAATAGCAATTGTATACTTGCTATGACCAAATATTCTACTTGCATTGCGGTGGTTCGCATTACATATTACATTGGTTAACATAAAATAATTTGTGCATAAGCACTTTCAAAAATACATAAAATAATTTATTGTTTGTTTTTGTTTACATTGGTTGCGCTATATACAACATAATCAATAATATCAATAGTTTTCTTCAATAATTCAAGTTATTCATAATAATTATTTAGAATTACAATGTTTATATTCGTTATATTTACTTCACAAAAAAGTATGTAATATGGTAAGAAACAATGTAGAAGAAAAAAAATCCAATAGAAAAAAAATTGAGCTTGTAGTAAAGAATGCAATAAAATATAAGTTTTTAATAATTTTATTTTAAAGTTTCTTTTCAACTAACAATTATGTTGCTTCGATAACAACGAACTTAAAACTTGAACGTATGTGTTTTAAGAAACAGGATTGTCAAATTTTTATTTGATTTGTGATTTATTAACTTCTGTTTTTGATGATGCCACATGAGCGCCACATCACTCCCCCACCAGTGGTTGAGTAGAAACGATGCCACGTTATATGTACTTGATCCTATGTCAAAAATCTGACAGGTAATCGAATAACTCTGCCACTGGATGCGCTATGACCAGAGTTGAGCTCCTGCTGAGGTCTTCGTATAGGTTGTGCATCTGGACTTGACTGAAGTGAAATATATCGTGACAACTGTGTGTTTGATTCGATTTCTTCATTCAACAAGTAAGCCGCCTTCACTCTATCAATGCTCACTTGGACAGGTCGGTCTTTGATTAAAATGGTAATAAGCTTACGATCACGCCGTATCACTTTGTATGGTCCGTCATAAGGTGATTTCAAGGGAGGTCGAACGTTATCATCCCTTAGGAACACGTGTGAACACGTCTGCAGGTCTCGTTGAACGAACGTTTTCGCTTTTGCATGATTTGAACCTGGAACCGGACATAATTGATCCATGGTCTCCCTAAGAAAAATTGCGAATTCGGAGTCACATCCGATGTGAGACGTCTTCTCAAAGAATTCTCCTGGAAGCTTAAGAGATGTACCATATACCATTTCCGCTGGACTAGCTTGGATGTCGTCTTTGAACACACTCTGTAAAGCCAGCAATATCAGTGGTAATTCCTCTGTCCACCTTTGATTAGACTTACACTTCAGTGCAGCTTTTAGTGTTCTATGAAATCGTTCCAGAATTCCGTTCGAATGTGGATGTCGCGAACTTGTACGTAGATGTTTAGTACCAATCAACTGCATAAGTTCAGCGAACAACTTTGATTCGAACTGCCTCCCTTGATCTGTAGTGATCTCTGAAGGAACGCAATAGTGTGAAACCCATCCCGTGATGAACGCCGCAGCTACTGTGTCTGCACTAATGTCCATAATGGGAATAACAACAGGCCACCGGGTAAATCGATCTATGCATGTCAGGCAGTAGCTGTATCCGTCTGATGGTAGTAATGGCCCCACGATATCAAGGTGTACTGCTGCAAATCGCCGGTCAGGTGCCTTGAAGGTTCCGAGTACTGTTTTGTTGTGTCTATCTATTTTAGCTCGCTGGCATTGTGGACATGTTTTTACCATTTTTGCTACATCCCTTTTAATGTTTGGCCAGACAAATCGTTCACTGATCAGTTTTGCCGTGGCCTTGCTGCCTGGATGACCTAAGTTATGTATGGTGTGAAAAACTTGTGAACGAAATTCATCTGTGATCCACGGTCGCACATGCTTTATTGAGAAATCGCACGTAATAAAATTCGATGAACTAGGTAGATGCACCAATTTAAGCTGAAGCGAAGTCTTGGCCTGTGATAAGAGTCGTTGCAGCTCCATGTCATTTCTTTGGCTCTTTCCTAATTGATCAAAGTCAATCTGCTTTTCCCCCTGTATTGATTCAATGCGTGACAGGAAATCAGCAACGCTGTTGTCTTTACCGGGAAAATGTCTGATATCGGTAGTAAACTAACCTATGTAATCCAGATGACGGAGTTGCCTGGCCGATGCTTTTTCAGGATTTTGCTGAAATGCAAAAATGATGGGTTTATGATCAGTTAACACCGTACAGTTCCTGCCTTCTACCATATGTTTGAAATTCTTAATTGCTTGATAAATGGCAAGAAGTTCTCTATCATAGGTACTGTACCGTCGTTGTGTGTCAGTCAACCGTTTTGAATAAAAACCAAGTGGTTCGAGTCGTCCTTCACGGATGTGATGTAATGCAGCTCCCACCGCGGTATTACTCACATCGACATGTAGAATGAGATTGGCTTCTGCTGTTGGGTGTGAAAGTGAACTGGCATCAGTAAGCGTTTTCTTAAAATCAACGAATGCTGATTCAGCTTCTTTTGTCCACTTAATCGGCGTTTTGTCATTTTTCCGATTTCCTGTTATTAGTTTCCTGTTATTATCGCTGCATTAGGAATGAAACGACGATAAAAATTCACCATTGGCAAAAAACGACGAAGTTCTTGCGCATTGCTTGGCTTCGAACAATTGAGAAGTGTTTTAACCCTTTCTTTTGGCGAACGAATTCCATTTTGATCAATACTGTGACCGAAAAAGTTAACTTCCGTCTGAGCAAACACGCACTTGTTGATGTTGAGTTTTAGACCGAATTGGTGTAAACGCTGAAACACTGTGCGAATGTGTTGAATGTGTTCAGCCTCATTCCTAGACGCGATGCAGATATCGTCTATGTAACATACCGTGAAGTCCAAACCGCTAAGTATTTGGTCCATGAACCGTTGAAAAGTTTGAGCTGCATTGCACAGCCCGAATGTCATCACATTAAACTCGAACAACCCGAATGGTGTGATAATAGCAGTTTTCTTTCTGTCTTCAGGTGCTATAGGTATACTGAAGTAAGCTCGTTCCAAGTCAAGTGTGGTGAAGACAGCTTTGCCAATCAAATTCTGAGTAAAATCTTGAATGTGCGGTATCGGGTAACGATCTGGAACTGTTTGTGTATTGAGTTGTCTGTAATCTCCGCACGACCTCCAAGTACCATTTTTCTTCTCCACCATATGTAACGGATTGGCCCATTCGCTTTTTGAAAGAGTGCATATTCCTTGATCAAGCATGTGCTGGAACTCACTTTTTGCTGCTTGCAACCTTTGTGGATTGAGCCGCCTTGGACGTGCATAAACTGGTTGCCCCGTGGTAACGATGTGATGTTGCACCGTGGTTCTTACTGCTCCAGACTTGTTATACGATGTTGGAATTGTTAGATCTTTGAACTGTTCCAATAATTTTCGGAATGGATAATCTGCATTCACTGCGAATACTGGCTCTGGCATACGTAACGCTGTTGCACAATGAACTTTCATATTAGTTTTGCTGTCAACGAGGTGTTGTGAGTTAAATATTTATTTTATTTAATTTCACGGGTTTTTGGCAGTTTTTCTGTAGGGTAGTGTGTACGATCTTAGGTGATCGTACATTTCCCTAAAAATAGGCAAGGTTATTTGCATCTGGGCAGTTGTTGACTAGAACCAAAGCAGCAGACCGTCAGTTCGACGATAAGAAATGCTGAGTTTTGGTATTTGGTTAATAATTGGTGTCACGATGTAAGTTTTTTTTTTTTTTTTTTTTGTTATTATAAATTGTTTTATTATTATATATGATTTTAAAGAACAATAAATAAAACAAAACAAGACATAAAGCAACTAGTTATTAGATAACTAACAAGCAATTTAAATTTAAATAGATTAGGCGATTCCACGCAATAATAAATTATTTGTACTATATTTCAATGATTTAAGCCCAAAGATCGCACGGCTTTCGGCGCTTTAGACGGCGTATTGGCTCAGTTGTCGCTAGTAAATGCGCCTCAGCATTTATGTGACAACTAAGTCTATCTTGGTGTGATTTGGCTTTGGTATGAATTTCTTCCTGTACTGTTGTCACTCCAAGGTCACGATGTAAGTCAGAATTTCTCACGTACCATGGCGCGTTTGTTACACTCCGTAGCATGAAATTTTGGAATCTTTGGATGATGGAAATTTGTGTTCTGCTTGCGCAATCCCATAGCTGTATTCCATATGTCCAGATTGGCTGGAGCATTTGTTTGTATAATACAAGTTTATTGAAAAGCGATAGTTTTGATTTTTTGCCGATTAACCATTTCAACGATTTGAATTTAAGATCTAATTCACTTCTTTTCTTTTTTATGTGCTCGCTCCATCTTAGTTTAGCGTCCAAAGTCATACCCAAGTATTTCGCAGTATTCGCGTGAGGGATTTGTGCTTCATCGATGTAGACAGGTATATGACTGATGCTTCGATTTGTGAAATTTACATGCACTGATTTTTCTTTATTCAGATTAATTTTCCATTTTTTTGTCCAAGCAATTATACTGTCCATACTATTTTGCAAATTATTAGCTGCTATTACTGCGCTTTCTCCAACTGCAAGGACTGCAGTATCATCAGCAAAAGTTGCTGTGAACGTTGTTGCACTCGTTGGCAAGTCGTGTGTATAAATCAGATATAAGAGGACCCAAGACACTACCTTGCGGAACTCCAGCGTTAATTTTATGCAGTTTACTATAGGTATCACCGTGCTTTACTCGAAAGTAACGATCAGATAAGTAAGAGGAGATTATGTCATAATACTCCGTTGGGAGAATATTTTTTACTTTGGTAAGCAATCCGGAGTGCCAGACTTTATCGAAAGCCTGCGACACATCTAAAAACACAGCTGAGCAGATTTTTTTTTCCTCAAGAGCTTTTTCTACTACATTGGTAATCCTATGGACTTGATCTATGGTGGAGTGATTGCACCTAAAACCAAACTGATGTAAAGGTATTATGTTTTGACTTTCAATCAGAGGAAGGATTCTTTTCAGTAAGACTTTTTCAAATATTTTTGAAAGTACAGGCAGAAGTGCTATTGGTCTGTAACCACTTACGTCATTAATATCCTTTCCTGGCTTATGTACCATGATAATTTCAGATACTTTCCACAGGGATGGAAGGGTTCGCATCTGTATTATAGCGTTAAATATATTCGTAATTTTAACTAGGCATTTTGCAGGAATTTCTTTTAAAACTTCAGCACTTATCAATTCATAACCTGGGGTTTTTTTTAGCTTAAGTTCATTTTTAATAATCATCATTACCTCAAGCTCGGTGGTTGGTGGAATACATGATGAATGTGCTGTCCTAGGAGGGCAGATTACTGCATTGTTAACGTTTTCGTCTATGGAAAACACTTTTGACAGGTGTTCGGAAAAGACCTCCACTTTTTCCTCATCGCTTTTAGCCCATTGATTAGCGTGATTTTTAATTGGAGCTTTGTGTACTAAAGGTCGCTTAAGGTTTCGTGTGCATTTCCAGAGAGAATAGTTGGTAGCACGATCATTACTTAAGTTAGATAGGTAGTAGTTGAATTGATTATTTTTAAATTGCTTGATTTTTAGGCTGAGTTCTTTTGTAAGTCTGTTAAGAATGGCTTTGTCTGCTGGAAATCTGGATTGCTGCCACTTTTTCCGCATCTTTCTTTTTTCCCGCATAAGATCCACAATGACTTTTGGGTATTTATGAGGATAGGTTGCATTCCTTAATGTGGGCGTGCTGCACCATGCCGCATGTTGTAGTAAATTTGTAAGGTTCAAAATTTCGCTTTCAAGATCATTTTCTTCACAAATTTCTTTTGAAGCAATGGTGTTTTCATTAAGGATTCTTCTGAAGTAACTCCAATCTGTATATTTATTTTCAAGTTTTAGACATTTTTTATTTATTAAGGCAGATTCGAAGAGGGTTATGTAGAGAGGGGAATGGTCGGAGCTTAGTTCTACTCCATCTGTCATTTTTAAATTGTAGGACGAAATTTGCTTGGTTATAAAGAAATCGAGTAGATCAGGCACCTTTGTTGGGTCAGTTGGCCAATAGGTTGGGTTCCCGGATGACAAGCATTCGCAGCCAGTTTGCTGTATAGCTTTGAGGAGTTCTCTACCTTTCGTTGTAATTAAGCGAGAGCCCCAATGCGTATGTTTAGCGTTGAAATCGCCACCCATAATGAAGCGATGCTTATGAGTTTCTATAAGATCTTTGTATTGTTCGGATTTAATTGAATGTCTTGGAGGACTGTATACCGATGTTAGTAGTAATTTGCTTTGTAAGTCAAGGACAACAGTTATTGCCTGGAATTCCTCTTTGAATATTTTTGTAGACTCGTAATGTTTTAATGATTTTTTATTTAAAATAACACTTCCTCCGCGAGCGCAATTACTAGGATGGACTGCGCTATATACTTCGTAATTCTTTAGTTTAACATATGTTTGGTTAGTAAAATGAGTTTCGCTAATTAAGCAAACATCAACATCTTTGACTGATAGGACTGTTTCAAGCTCTCTAAGGTGTTGAAGAAGACCGTTCGAGTTC